GAGATGGAGAGAAGCAAAAGGGACAACTGCAAAACCTGGGCATGGCTGAAAGGTAATATATGCTCCAGTAGATTGTTTGCATTTTCAAGGACTGGGGAGAAGCTTGTGGTGGAAAGCTAAATCAGTCCTTGTACTCTGGTCTCCCCTGATCTTGTCTCTCCTCTCCCAGGACATGATCTGGCTCAGAAAGGCAGATTCAGGCCTTCTGCCCACCACAGATTAGCCAGAACTCACGAGCTTCTCCTGTGTGGGCGAAAAACCAGTTGATCTCACACCCTCGGTGCTACAAAAGTTGCAGCAGAAAACAGTTCCATTCATCAGCCCAAGTTTCACAGATGTGCAGGATTCTATTTAGGCAATTTCTTAATTTTAATTACATTTCCTTTTTAATATATTTATATAACGCTCTTTTATATATATATATATAAATTTAACACAGTATTCATCACTACAGGCATTTCAGAATTCATAAAGGAAGAAAAAAGACTTTGATTGCACCATTTGGACTCTGGATGAGGGAAAATGTTGCAGGGCTTTACGGATGCTCTCTAATACAGACCAAAGTTCCTCTGAAGCTCTAAAGGTGAAAAAAAAAAGTGCCTCAGTCTTTCAGAAGTGATAGCATGGGATGGACAGCCCAGAGGAATGTGTTTTATAAGGTAAAATACAATCCTTATTTCTGTTTCCGTCCGAGGATTCCCATCTTTGCCAGCCCAACCGTTTCACTCTGAGCTGCACTTAACAGAAGCTGCACAAACCCCCGACTACGTGGGAAGAATAAGTGATATTTAGTCACGTGTCTCCCATTGGTAAAAATCCACAAGTCACACATGCCGGTGACACCATATCGTGCCTGAGACTGGCACCATCTGCAAACTTTGGAATGGCCTTTACACTCTTCACGGTCTCAGGAGAATTGAAACGTACTGCAGTGTCCCCGAAACGATCCCTGCAGAGCTGCAAACGACGTGACAGTCCATTTAGGAAGGTCCTTTCCATAATGCCAAGAACAACTGACTTATCTCTCCTGTACACAAAACTTCAAATGCTGGGCCAGACCCATCTCCTGTAAATCTGATCTATCCCTCTCCATAATATTTCACATCAAACAAACAAACAAACCCAAAACCAAACATAACCCAAAATCCTTTCTTAAAGTCTCTAGTGTTGCAGGGTTGTGCTGAAAGGCAGGAGTTTGGTATCCACAATGTATCAAGGTATCACAAGGCACCACTGCAAAACCCTGAACTTCAGAAGAACTTCCAGTCTCAGGTTCAATCTCCTACTGCAAGGTGACAGAGGACAACCTGAGGGCTCTGAAGCAAAGATAACATGGGGTCTGACCCTGAAGCTGACCTCAGGAATGACATAGTAAAGTTGGATCTCAGGAAGCTCCAGCCACACAGTCAGCACCATTTGCTGGGAGGTGGCTTCTGTCTTCTGTCTCTGTCCAACTATCAAGCTCTGGTCCTTGAAGCTGCCTGCAACTATCAGTATCAACATGGATCCATCATCAGGCATTACAAACTCTGCAGAAGTCTGAGCCTGGAGTTAGGAATGGTGGCACCTGGGCAATGGTGCACCTGGCAACTAAGCAAGTACTTTCAGCTCTGCAGGATCTGAGGCCTTATCTCAGTGTTCTTCATATAAGTCCACTTGTGACCACAGGGCTATAGTGATGTGTCTGCATTAAGCCCTCTTGGCCAGGATCTTGGAAGTTAGATACATCAGCTGAAGGCTGGAGATTACATTGTACACAGAGATGGGATCGAGCTACAAAATAGAGATGTCATTACAGAATCTCTTCTTAATTAAAAACCAGGGCCTGGATCTGAGTTCAAATTCTGAAACATCCTTAAAAAGTATAGCCTGGATAGAATTTTAGTTGAGGCTGATCTTTAATATTAAGTAAAGATTTGTAATAATTTTCTCTTGCAGGAGTTTCACCACTTATGCCAGAAGTGCTATTACTTACTGGAACACTGTTAAGAGTTGAGACAGTGTATTATGTACAAATTGCCAGACCTCATTTCTTGTTCATAGATCAGCTTATATGAGAATAAGGAGGAAAAAAAAAAAAAAAAAAAAGAATGGTTTTAAGGTTCCAGGGTTTCATCACATTTTCTTTTTCCTTTGATACATTACTTCGTGAGCTTCGCTGGCTCCATTCCAGATGCCTTGGCAGTCAAAACTTCTAGGAACAGGGAGAATATAAATCTCTGTCTACAGTAAACTGTTTTGTTGATGCCAAAAACCTGGGCATCATTTCCACAATTTTTACTTTCTCTAAAGCCTTTCCACGATACCTCGTATCACACCTTCCCAAGTCATTTGCCATTACCACAGCTGTGGTGGTTAGAAGCTTTCCCACGAGGCATTCGGGTGCCATGTAAATGCAGTGCAGAACTGGGCTAACTATGAGGAGCATGGAGGACTGGAAAACTCTAGTTGTAATGGGAGGCTGCACAGGCATCTTATGGTCTGGGAGGAGGATAATACAATCGTCATGAAGCTGTGTGTTCTGGACAGGCTGTCCGTGGCTTGCTCAGGTAAAGCATAGGCTGACATCTGTGGGAGAACATGGACCTGAACAAGAACTCCAGGCTCTCATCTGATTTAATATTCTCCCTCAACAAAACTGACAGCACAGAATTATTTCTCTGCTCTGTTATGTTTTATATGGCGTTAAGCACAAAGAAGTACAGTGGGGAGGATCAAAGACTGCAACTGGTGACAGGGAAAAGCCCTCTTGCTTTTTCATGCTCCTTTGGATATGGCAGGAGAAAATTCTGCTGAAGATATGTTCCTGGCATTTGTGGGCCCAGACTTCTCTGGCATCTCTCCTCTTTAGCAATCAAAGAGTGCAAAGAAAGCACCGTACAGACTCTGGGTGCTCCAGACACAGTGACACTAACTAAGTGACACATTCAGTACAGACCCTGGTGTACTGAATTTTCTGTGTGCAAGTCAAGTACCCTCCATAGCAAAATACTTCGCAGGAAACTGTAAAGGATTCGGGTCCATCTTGCACAAAATAGTTATAACAACAGTAAAATGGCAATAGAGTTGGTCTTGGACACTCCCATCCCATCCACCATGGAAAAGGAATAAGAGAAGCAGTTGCTATTCGATCCGCCTCCCACTTCGTCCATCCAGAATCACAGAAATGACACATGTGTACAGACCAGGAGCTCGTGGGTGGAGTTTAACAGTCTGAAAATGCCAGTACTTCAGAAAAAAAAAAGCCCTAAACATACATCCATTGGGAAATTCTGACTGACACTCACCGTGGTGACTATAGCACTTGCTACCAGATGCTCAGCTACTGCTTAAACTATAGCCCATAATACCCACCCAAGGGCCTACAGACTTATATCTCCATGAACGATGGCCCTGCAAGCACCATTACAGGGACAATCTCAATCCTGGCAGCAACACCTGTGTTCCTGTCTCCTCTGTAGTCATCAGTGACTCTTAAATTGCAGAGACAGCACGGGCTGTACCTGACTTTGCAGTCGCCCACGGTCACACACCAGGCAACAGATGAGCCTACAGTGAACGTGGAGTTTATAAAGCTCCATATAAAGAGCTTTATAAAGGAAGGAGCTTTATAAAGGAAGCTTTAATTCTACCCCCCTGGCAGCTGTTGCTTATAGGAACATGTATTTGTCTGTAACAATAACGGCCCTTCAGGAACGAGTTTAATTCACTTCAAATCCGCCTCTCAGGATATCGTTCAGGATCTGTTCTGCAGTCTCACAAATCGTCCTCTTTACCATACTCTTAACCAGCCTGAAAGCACTGAGGGCCAGGAAGGTGACAACCAGCCATGGTCTCAAAGAAACAGTGTAAAATCACAAGGAGAGGAAGTTTAAAGGAAGAAGAAGCACCTGGGGACATGCCACACAGTGGCAATGAAAGACCAAGGGTCAAAGATATGTCAGTCAGGGTGCAAGAGGGCAATAGCCCAAGGACATGCAGATCAGAGGATCTTCTTGCTTTTCTCTGCTGTTGGCAGTGGGGAGCATGGCTGGAGATAGTGGCAAAGGTGTCATCTGGCTTTAAGCAATGATGAAAATAGTTGATACTGGCCTTTGTTACCACCGTGTGTTTGCTTTCACTGATACCAGCCTGAGAAGTCTCTATCACTGGACAGCCAGCTGCACGCTCATTCCCCAGCTACATGGATCTTGTTTGACCAAGGAAGGTGTGGCTGAGCATGACAAAACTCATCAGCAGGATTTGGAAGATTAAAAGAACAACTGGGCGTTTCCTGTCCAGCTACTTTCATTCCAGCCCTTGCACATGCTAGAAAGAGCACATCTTTGATGCAAGGACGGAGCTGGAGGCAGCGCCTTCAGGTTGCATGTTTGTCACTGGAACATCCTTGGGTGTCTCACACCCTGTGTGACTTCCTCATGCCAGCTTCAGCTTTCTCTTCAGCTATCCCCAGCCTCCTGCACTGTTTATTTACCCTGTCTAAATCAGACAACAGAGATGGAGAGGCATAGTCCGTCACTGGTGGCTGGGAAACAATGGAAGGAGGTCCCAAACATCTGGACTTACCTCCTCAGCAGATGTGCCTCTGCACCCTGGGCTGCAGTGCTTTGGAACAGTGTTTCCTCCCAGCCCTATTTTCTAATTATACTGATCTTTATTTTTCCTTTTTTCCATAGGGAGGATGAGACTTTCACAGGGCTTGTTAGACAATAAGTACGAGGAAATGCAAGGTCCCTGGGACTGGCTTACCAAAAAAAAAAAAAAAAGGCAGACAGTGAGGGACTAGTCAAGGATGAGAAGGGGGAGGAAAAGCAAGACAAAAAGACTACAACCCTCCATAGCAAAATACTTTGCAGGAAACCATAAAGGATTTGGATCCATCTTGCACAAAATAGTTATAACAACAGTAAAATAGCAATAGAGTTGGTCTTGGACACTCCCATCCCATCCCATCCCATCTCATCCCATCCACCATGGAAAAGGAATAAGAGAAGCAGTTGCTATTCGATCTGCCTCCCACTTCGTCCATCCAGAATCACAGAGCGCCTCTGGGGCTGGTAAAAGCAGCTGGTAGAGGTCTCCAGTCTCTGGCCATTCTTGGGGATGGTCATTTTGTTCCGCAGAGTCACCCCCTCAGGTGTTGTCCGCGCAGTCTCAGACAGATCGCCACAAATGGGGCTCGAAGAGGTGGTCTGAGTGGGGCTCCTTATGGGTGATAACAACACCCTGGAGTCTGCTGAAGAGGAGGGGTGGTCCATAATGGGGAAAGGGGGGCTGAAGAGAATCAGACTCTGGGGCCTCCCAGGCCTAGATCTATAGGAAGGTTTGGAGAACCCTGATGGCCTCTCCATCTTTGAGGACTGTGGGTTATCTCCAGCTGCCTCCCCCTCAGAGGTGCGCTTTCGGCGCAGAACAGGGGCATCCATAGCAGGGTAATGACTGGATGGGGATGGCTCCAGTGGAGAGCCAAGACTGCTGTGCCAAGGACAAGCTGAGTCCTTTTGAGCTGGGTCACTGTTTTCTTTCTCTGCTTTGGCTTTCTTCTCCATCAATGGGCTCTTAGGGACCTCCAGGTGGCTCCATGCCACCTGTTGAGTCTGCCTGACGGCCTGCTTGGCTTCTGCTTCCTTCTTCTCGGTCGGCGGAGCAGTGTTCTGAGCCTGCAGGGGCTGGGGGATCTGGGTGTACTGAATTTTGGGTGGTATCACAGGCACTGCCCTAGCCTGGCACATCTTAATCATGAAGGAGGTCCTGACCGCGGACACACTGACAGGGGCAGAGTTACGACGGCCGGTGGTGGCATGGGCCACTGCCAGGTAATCCAAGTCTAGATCCACGTGGGCATTGAAATGTGACCCCCAGGGAACGCCTTTACTGGCAACAGGGCAGGCAGTCGGCAGGGATGGGACAGAATCGCTGCTTTTGACTTCCTTCTGCCCACACAGGAGGTTCCGAGGGGCAGAGGGCATGGACAGGTTCTCGAACGTGAAGAAATCTGGTGCTGGAAGGAGTGAATCCAAGTTGAGGGATGATGGCCTAGTCTTCACTTTGCGAGGTGTTTCTTCACCTTTATTACTCAGCTGTGGCTCAGTGGCAGAGCACAATTCTTTGGTAACAGTCTCTCCTCCCAGGGCAGTGTCCTGAGACATGGATAACTCCTCCTTTGTGTCCTTTGCCTGTGAAGAACTGCCTGGGCTATTTTGATATGGCAAAGACAGCTCAAGCTTTGATCTCCAAGAACTTTCTTTGCTCACATCCACTTTCCTATCCTCTGGCTCCAAAAAAGGGATTCTGGAGGGTCCTTCTTTCTCAGCTAGTGCCTCCTCCCTGCTGAGGGGGTATCTCAGCTTCTCATGTTTTGGAGGTTCTTCTGGAGGACTTGTGCTGTTCTCATCTTGCTTAACTTTGCCCAAACTAGAGGAGGAGGTGGGTTGTGTTTTGGGCAGCTCACAAGTCACTGGGAGAATGTCAATGCATGGTTGCTGCTGGTCAGTGGCATCTAGGAAAGAGAATGGGATAGTCCACAGACTCATCACTGTGTCTTTACTGTCGAGGGAGAGGCTGCGACTGAATCGTGGTCTAAGAGAAAGGCCTGTCTCTGCTCTCTGGCTCTGTGGCTGAAACTCCTGTAACATCTTCTCCTGAATGTCCTTAAAGGTGGGGGAATGGAGTGGGCTTGTAACCCACTGGTGATCCTCCCATGGCTCCACAAGTTCTAAACTCTGCACATTATCTGTCCAGGTATCCTCATCATCCTGGTCACCAGCATCATGGGTTCTGCTAGCAGCGTTAGCCTCCTTCAGCTCCTGGATTCCAGCTCCGCTCAGTGCCGTGGAGGAAAATGTGTCCCTTTCATCAGCCGTCATTATCTCAGGCTTTTCCCTCTGAGTCTGGACTCTGGTAAGACCATCCTTATCCCTCTGCAGCTGGCAAGTGCTATCTTTTTCTCTTGCTGACTCTGGACATGCTCCTTTGGAACAAGAAAACTCATCATCTGGGACAACCTCATTAAATTCTGATTGACTGTGAAGCTTCCAGTCCAGGCAAGGAGTGAGACATTCACTCCTGCTGTCCACCACTGGGTGGTGGTTCTTTGAAGTGGCTGTGCCAATTGGAAGAGTACCCAGTTTGAGTGAGGCTGAAGCACAGCTCTGCTGTGCAACCACATCAGACTGGCAGTTGTGGAGGCTGTCTTGTCGTTCCGTGCCGGTGGCACCAAACAAAGGCACTTGGGTTGTTATCTGTGGTGTTCTACTTGTAGACTTCTGCTCAGACAGCGTTGGACGCTGCCCTGGGCCAGAGGAAGAACTACCTGTTTGTACTGAAGAAGAGGGTTCAGAAATTTGGCCCATCTTGGGGACAGTTGCTGGCAAGAGCAAGAGCTCCTCTTCAGGTTCGATAATTTTCAGTTCCTGCTGTATCTCTGGCCACAGCGGTTCTAGAAGAGCATTTGCAGGGTCCTCCTCAGTCTGAAAAACAGAAGAAATGCCATGACTTGGCAGCTCACAACTTACCAATAAATAACCCCTCCATTTTCCTCAAACATCCCTCTTAGGATAGACAGGCTCCTGGATGAGCACGCTTGTGGGCGGAGAAACAGAGACGTGCATACTGCTACCAGCTCAAGGAAGGAAATACGTGTATAAACAAGTGCCTTTATGGAGGAGAAGATCTGAGGTGCAGCCAAAACAAGGCCTGTACAGATGTACTGAAGGAGTGAGGTGAATGAGTAGCTGGAATGTCTCAGCCTGTTTCTCAGCTCTTCCCATTCAGGCTCGCTTGGCCTTGCCAGAGGATCTGCATTCCCAAATCGCACACGAGCTGGAATGAATACTCTATTCAAGGAGCTATGCCAACAGAACTTTAAATAGCTGTCCAGAAAGGAGTATTGCTGTAAGAAACTTGGTGAAAAAGCTCTCCTAGAGATATAGAGGAAGCAAAAAATAATAATTAAAAAATAATAATGTGTAGAGAATGGAAGAAAAAAAGACTGTTCAGGCTGTCCAGGACAAATGGCACAGCAAAAATAGAATGGGAGTTCAGAGACCGTGGGTCAAAATGCTCAGACATCCGGACAGTCTCACATCGGGACGGTCTCAGAGCAGACAGATTGTCCTGACTGCAATCGTGTAGTTATAGGAAAAGAAGACCAAAGGGGACAGCAGGTAGTTGTATAACGGTAAATCACCACATGGTGATGTGGACAGAAGCAAAATCAGTATATGGTCAATTCCTGACCCTGCTTAGCCTAGGTCATAGACTGAGTTTTTGTGACTATGGACACAATGAAACTTTAAACAACCACCCAGTCACCACCATGACATTGTCCCCCATCTTACCACATCTCTTAAGTGTGACCCTTTTTCTGTCTTAACTGTCTCAATCTCCTGCTGGCCACAGCTGCCTTCTGAGGAGACATCCTTCGTCTTGCGCTGTCCTTGCTCTGCCTTGTCTGCAGGCAGCGGCCCCGTGTGAACCTCTGGTGTTTGTTCCAAGGTGGGACTCTGCTCTGAGGACTGCCGGGGACTACTGGTGCTGCTTGTGCAGCTGCTTTGCCCACATAACGTCTCCTGATTTTCTGCTGCTGGCTGTGGAGTTTCTGAGGACTCGGGTTTCCTGGCTGCCATCAGCTCCTCAGGGTTAGAGCCTGATTCAGAAACACAAATGAACGATGTAATGACTTGTGACGGAAAACACGTGCCCTGAAACAAAGCAGTGCTGTTTCATAGAATCATAGAATAGAATCATAGAATGGTTTGGGCTGGAAGGGACCTTAAAGATCACCTAGTTCCAACCCCCCTGCCATGGGCAGGGACACCCTCCACTACACCAGCTTGCCCAAAGCCTCATCCAACCTGGCCTTGAACACTTCCAGGGATGGGGCAGCCACAACTCCTCTGGGCAACCTGTTCCAGTGCCTCACCACCCTCAGAGTGAAGAATTTCTTCCTTATATCTAATTTAAATCTCCCCTCTTTCAGTTTAAAGCCATTGCCCCTTGTCCTGTCACTACACGCCCTTGTAAAAAGTCCCTCTCCAGCTTTCCTGTAGGCACCTTTAGGTGCTGGAAGGCTGCAATAAGATCACCCCGGAGCCTTCTCTCCTCCAGGCTGAACAGTCCCAACTCTCTCAGCCTGTCTTCATAGCAGAGGTGCTCCAGCCCTCGGATCATCTTCCTGGCCCTCCTCTGGACTTGCTCCAGTAGTTCCATGTCCTTCTTGTGCTGGGGACTCCAGAGCTGAACACAGTATTCTAGGTGGGTCTCACAAGAGCTGAGTAGAGGGACGGAATCACTTCCACTTTCAACCCAACGCCAACCAACAAAGCTAAAGAGTTCCCTCCGGGCGCAACAGGACGTTGCTGGGAGGCCACCCACCTCCCCAGTCTCAACGCTGCAACAAGCACCAACCTGACCTGCTACCATTAACGCCCACCCTGATACAGTTTGGTCTCTTTCCTGCTACAAGAGCAGGCTGGAGCAATTTCCATGCCACTAAGTTGGCTACTGGAGCCAACCTCCAGTAGGCTGACAGAGGCTCCACAACCCCCTTCTTAACACACTTTTAACTCCGGATGCTGCCGCTGGCAGGGTGGGCCCTGGCTGTTTCTCCTTCCCCTCCGGCACCTGCTCTGTCCTCGTGTGGGTCCCCGCTTCCGGAGCAGAGGGACTTGTGCTCTCGGCCACCAGGGAAGACAGCTCCTCTAGGCTGGAGAGGGAAGGCTTCTCCTTGGCAGGCACGCGGCAGGGTGTGCTGTTGGTGCTGATGACCGCGGATACCCGCAGGGGGACAGAGACGGCGAAAGGCTCTGAGATGTTCAGGGCTTTCCTCTGGTGACGAGGGGAGGCCTCCAAAGGAAAGAGGCTACTTGGGAAGCCTGACTTGGTGGCTGTTTCAGAGGTGTAGAACATGCGGCCACCTTTGGGGGAAGTCTGCTCGTTTTCGGCGTCCTCTGCCGCCCGGAAGACCTTCAGCTGCTCAGGGGGTGACTTTGCCTGTGGTGTCCGGGGAGGACCTTTCTCCCCACTCAGCTCTGAGCTTCCTTTGGCCCCCATGGCAGATCCTTCCCGCTCCCACTCATTCTCCTTGCTGAGGTCGTATGAGCTGCCCGTGCCTCCTGTCCGCATCTTTATCACTGGAACAAAAAACCCTCCCGTAGTCACTGTCCGTTTGAATCTGCTCTTTTCATCCTCCCCTAGAAATGGGAAGATAGGAAGAAGTCAGTGGGAAACAAAGCAAAGAGCCTTCCTCTAAGGATCCCTCCTCAATCCCTCCAGGGATGAGTCCTGGCCTGGTGAACACCCACATTTCCCCAGAGAGATGAGGACAGCAGGCACTGAAGACCTTCCAGGCTCCAGCCTGGAGGCTCCTGGAGCCTCCTTCAAACTGGGCAGGTGTGGCTGGATAGGATGCACTCCAGTGGAAATCACCTAAGACTTTTATTAGAGGCCCCTCTCAGTCAGATGCAGCCAAACCTGGGGCTAGCATGGATTGCCCACAAAGATCACAGCTCCAGGCTTTGCTGGCTTATTGCAAGCACTTTTCACTTATGAACAGGAATTTTGTGCCCAGAAAAATCAAGAATGAAATCAAAGCAATCCCACTGCTAACAAAGATGCAGCTAGGCACGGTGGGAACTCCCACGTGCATGCACCAACATGAAAGACACAGAAAAGGGTTAAAAATGCACGCACACAAAGGTGGGGGACCACGTCGGCAGCCATGGCATAAGCATACAAAGATACACAACAGTGAGACAGGCAAAGAAACAGAGCACTGCATCCCCGCGAGCACTGCATTCCCTGCAGACCACTGCATCCCTGCGGGCACTGCATTCCCTGCAGACCACTGCATCCCTGCGGGCACTGCATTCCCTGCAGACCACTGCATCCCTGCGAGCACGGCATTCCCTGCAGACCACTGCATCGCTGCGAGCACCGCATTCCCTGCAGACCACTGCATCCCTGCAAGCGTGGGGGAAAGCTGAGCATGCAGAGGTGCCATCCTTCACCCTTACAGTACCGGCTTTCGGTGTCTCACCTTCCACTGGCAGGGAACACAGCGAGTCCATGCTCTTCGCGGGACGAATAGTCGCTTTTTCTGTGGAAAACGAGTTTTAGAAGCAGGCTTCAGACCCTGCAACATTGCAGGTTTCAGCCCATAAAGACCAAAGGCTACATATAGATGGGCATGCCAGGCAGACCTCAAAGTTATTTTCCATTTCCAAACATTCCCCCTCTGTATCCATACCAAGCGGCTTATTACCCACGCCACTTGTCCACACAGCTGGGGATCTGCTAGTGCCAACAACAGCTTTGCACCTGCCGGACACGTGGAGAGCTATACTTATCCCAGCCAGCCAAACCCATCTCCACTGCGAAGCAATTAAGCATCCCCGAAGCTTAATGACGCGCCACTGCCCGCCCTGGTCAAGTCAGGCTGTTGGTTGTGGGGACTTTTTCTTCACTAAACTGACGTGAATGTCTTCTCACCTCTCATTCCTGACAGCAAATGTTGGGTTATTTTTACATCGCACTCCCAGGCTCTTTTGCTGGCATGAGCATACCCTGCCTTCAGCAAGCACTCTGGGAAATTTAGGAGGGCAGTAAGCAACCTGTTTTCCTGGTCATCTGCACTGGACTCGCTTGTCCAGAAACAAGCTGACATTTGTCACCAGACACTCCACAGGTCTGCTCCTAAGAGGTTTTGGAAGCGTGTAGCTGTTACCGCTCCAAAAAGGCGAGATGGGGGGAATGTAGCTGGCAAGGAAGACAGGTTAGTCTCTGGCAGCCCAGAAAGGATCCGTTGAGGTCTGGAAAATGTCTGGGAGCAAAGTTTGCTGTTTACAATATTGCACAAAGTAGGTAAGGCAGAAAGTGAGCAGGCTTGTTGGACCTCATTGTTTATATAATTAAGGCATCTGGGACTAACTTTCACACTAGTATAGGAGAAACTCCAGCTACTTTTTGCATTTATATGGAGTCCTGGCTACCGTTTACGTTCATATAGCACGATGATATACTTGAGCACTGGCTCCACTTTCCCGGAGGAACAGAATTCAAGCTGTGGAGCTCGTGTTTTATGTGACTTGCAGACTTGTGTGCATGGACACAAACTATGTTCAAGCATGTGCTGAGTTTCAACAGCAAGTTCATCTGTTTCCTCACATTCGGCTGTAAGCAGAGAGCACACAAAAACAAAACATGGCAGCTTCTTGAAAACACTACTTCAGAACCTGAATCTCTGCACATGGTTGTGCATTTGTGCGTCCTGCTGGTGAAAACGTACAGCCTCCTGTCACTCTGTACTGTGCTTGAAAGGAGACTCGCCCCCCCACAATCACTGGGATCCAGTCATTCCTGGGCATCCTTGGGTTAGCACTATTTTGGGACAGAGTATTCCTTATCAAAGCGGGAAGGTGATCCTGTGATCAAAATAGGATGGAGAGCTATTTTGCGGTCTGCCATGGGCACCCTGCGCGAGGCCATCTGTAGATGCAAAACATAGGAGAAGGCAGGGGTCCAAAAAGAGCTGGATCCAGCATTTGGCTTCACACTCACTTCTGATCCAAATACAGCCTCTCTTATATGTGCTGGTAGGCAATATCGCCAACAAGAACTATTTTATTTTAAGTCTTCCGAGGTTTGGTAGTGCTCCTCCAAACACCAACTCTGGGAGTCATAAGACTGTCTAAAAAAAATCCCACCTTCATCGTCTTCTTAAAAAGTAAATATCTTGTCTTGGAGATACTAAAAAAACTAGGACATATAAACCTGAAACACTTCTTTATGAACTTCGGTTAAAAAGGGGATGCTTTCTTTTAAAAATCGTGATTACTTTTAAGTCAACTTCATGATTTGTAAAACTTGAGTCATTATTTCTGAACACTGGGAACTGGCACTGCCATGTGACTTTCTAAGAAGCAGAGTGTTTAAGAGATTGCAGCTCAGGAGAGGCTAGAACTTGGGCTTACAGCCAGGAGAAATGACAACTTCTCTCTTGTAAATTCTGCAAAATAGTTTCCCTCAAAGTACTGAGATCCAGGAGCCATAGGGACTCCTGGTGCCTTGTTTTTCACGAAGACACTGAACACAGTTGGTTCTTTAATGCCCTTTAGTGAAAAGATGGCCTGAAAGGACAGCCATTCTCCTGTGCCATGTAAGGAACATTAGGAGCCAAAGGCTGGCTGGGCTGGAAGCGTGGACTTATCCAAACCTATGTAGTATTTCCTAGTCCCCAAGCTTGACATCTGGGTGATGGGAGCCTGTTTATCACACACCAAAATGGAATATTTACTGTAGCTGTCCGGCATATCCTCCTGAAAGGGTGCTTCTTGCCACCACGTGAAAATGAGATGTCCGTGAAACCAGGCAATGAACATGACCCCATTAGACTATCTCAAGTCTAATGATATTAGTGTCATGTGGATACAAGTTGCCCCATGCTGTCGATATCACAGGAGAACGCTGCAGAGAGAAATACTTAACTGAAAAGAGTGTTCTTACCAGAGAGCTTCTGTGCCCTTACGAAGACACTCCCATTTCGACTCAGTTTAGACTTCGATTCAGAGCCAGAACGGCCCAAGTTAAATATCGACTTCCATTTCTTGGACTTGGTAGATAATTTTCTCCTAGAAGGAAAAAGGGCTCAGGAGGTTACCAAACCCTAGAGACTTTTGCCTTTTTAATACCCCACAAAAGCCTCTGAGCTCTCCCCTCAACGCTGTCCCTCTTTTCTTCTCACACCTCTTAAAATTCTAAGGCATGCAAAGCATAGCTACACAACCAACTCTTGCTTTTCTGTAAGAGATTTATCTGTATTGCTGATTTAACCACGTCATGGATGGAAAGACACCTAAGCTGACTCTTCAGAGAGTTGGCTCTGGCATCATACTGCAGCAACAGTGACTGACTGAAGGATCAGCCATGCTTGTCTCTGGAAAAGATATGTTTCAGAGGCAAGAACTATCTTGCAATACAGTACAGAAAAATTGCCTTTATAACAGGTTTTAATGACAGAACGCAAGATAAATTCCAGAGAACTGATGGAACTGGTGCTATCGCTTGGTGCACAAAGCTATCCTTTCAAGTCTACATCTTATGGTTTTATCCCTTAGTACAAACTAGCTATTAACGCTTCTCAGCACAATATTAATTTAATCATAGGTGTTACATGATCATATGCAAGTATAGTGTACTAATCAAAAGGAGGAAGTTTAACGGATTTAAACTAATTTCTCGTAACTGTCAGAGGAAGTGGGACGCCAGTTCCCTGTGTCTCTTTGGAAATCCCAGCTTTAAACAGAAAGAAGCTGTTACTCCTGAAGCCAGTTTTCTTCTATGCTTATTACCACAAGAAGCTCTGTTTCAGTTCCTTCACATACCCATTCTGACTCCTCCAAGCTCCCCTCTTCCTGAGCAAGATCCCTCTTATCTCCCTGTCTTTCCACTCCCGCCGTTCCACTTTTTTTTTCAGATCAGTACTCAGAAGAGCACAAATCGGTCCCACAAAGAGGATTAATATCTTGGGGATAGGACTATTCTCTTCAAGTGAGAAAGGAGAAGGCACTCTCGAGGGGCAACACACCCTTTTGTCTTAAGCTGGTTATCCTCTCGCCGGTATTCTGTTAGATGGCTCCTTTTTGCTTCACTATATCAAGTGCAAAGAAATAGCTTTGCTCTGGTGCCTCATGGGTTAATAGATTAATGAGCCTCCTGGTGCAGAGGCTATAATCTCTCAGCAATGGGCAGTAGAGTGGCCATACATTAACAGATGGATAGACCAATAGATAAATACTTATGCTGGGTAGCAATGCCAACAACTGCAGAGACCTCAGCTGAAATCATACTCTTCTCCTGGCATAGGCATAGGTGCCACCATGTAAATATCTTTCCATGCTAGGAGTGAAAATTCACCTGACTGCTTGGCTATGAGTGCAGAGGAACCTGGAGAATGATGAAGCTGAGCTGGTCAATGCCACTAGGTGTGCCATGGACCAGCCGCCAGCAGGTGGAACTCGTAAGGGAGCTGTGTCTGGACCTGCTCTGTGTTCAGCCCACATTTAGCCAAATCCTGAGCTGACACAAGGATGCAAAGACAACGAATTCCTCCTGCAGGAGGTCTGCGAGGTTCTGCCCGATGGAGGGATGAGGACTAGTGGAGCTATGAACCCAGCAGCTACAATGCTTCTTAGGAGCCGCTGTGCCTTTTTTGAGAAGGGCACAGAATTTTCTCTGGACGGTGGTTGCAGATTCTTGCATGCAGGTGTGGGGGTATCACGCTAACAAAAGGCTCATTCCAGATCAATGCTGGGGAACCTGCACTCTTTTGTCGGCACTTTTCACTCCTCTTGGCACTTACTTGCTGTCAGGGAGGTCAACAACGGTGTGGAAGAGAGAGCCAGTTACAGGGACAATTTCAGGCAAGCTGTTCTCTCTCCTCTCCTTCCGAGCAGGGTGGGAGGCAGACAGACTCCGTGCCTGCGCTTCTTCCAAGCTCACCAGTTTCATTGGCAGGGAAGCCGAGGGGAGGGACAGACTTTTCACAACCGATGCGCTCTCTGAAAAGCAAGAAAATACATTCCAGCCTGGGGTGAGGAGAGACGAGAGCAAGAGCTTCATGCCTTTATTTAACTGGAACATCTCCTGCGGAGGGGGGAAAGGAGCGGCACGTGCAGGGAGAGAGGCTTTTTGTCAGATAAGTCTTGCATCTCCTCAGCAACCTTATCCATCTGAGTGCATTCCCAGCAGGGGCCATGCTCACCAGCTAAAGGCTGCATTGTACAGACTTGCTGCCTCTGCTGTAGACACGTTGGTGTGAAAGAGGCGTCTCTGAAAACCACCAGGATTCACACATGTCCCTTTCTCCTCCCTCCTTCCTGCCTCCCTCTCCACATTTTGGAGCAGTTCAGTCCCCAGCCCAAGCCTGATGCCCAATTCTTTCTCTCACTTCCACATCTTTCTCCTTGTCTTGTTCTAGGAAAGGGGACTGTTCTAAAAACCAGCATTACTTGACCTTGCTAATGCATTTCAGGGCTATGGAAAGCAGTATGACCAATAGCCCTGGCAGCCCTGGCAAATGAAGGTCTCTGTTTACACGGCCAGTGACAAAGTCAGCTTCCTATAAGCCACCCCAATAACAGCCCTGTTCTAAACAGACCACCTCAAGGTGCATGAAGGAAGTGCAGGCTCTGGAGACCACTCAGTACTTAACCCTGCTGCTGAAGCACTTTCCCACTAAGAAATCAACTGAGACCATCAGTATGTTCCTCTCTTGACTCCATATGTCTGCTAAAGGCCAGCAGTGTTCAGCACTTATCACACTTGGGCCAGTTTCGGGCCAGTGACCTGCAGTAAAACCTGAAGCCTTGGAATTTATTAGCCAGTGTTTCACTACAATGTTTAAGGCAGTACGGGAGCAGTTTTTCACTCCATGTCTTCTGCCAGAGCATAAATAAAGGTATAGGAATGGCACCTGCTCTGGCAGAGCAGGGATGTTACAGGTTGAGCAGGGCACTGCACTGGAAACACGAGCTCCAGGGACTAGCAGAGAATGCCACATATTAAGGGAAGGGTGAACAGAACGAGCTGACACAGGGCTGGAAAGCGGAAAGGTGGTTACTCCCTCACTTCTGAAGGTATCACGAGTCTTCTCAGAGAGTAAAACAGAAAGATGTGTATTTCTAAAATTATGTGAGGTCACCGTAGATCCAAGCCCTCTCACTTCCTAGACTTAAAAGCATTTCGACAACAAATCCGTCACTAAACAACAAAATCAGCATCTCTGAAAACTGTTGATGTCCCAGGAGAAAAATAAATCTATTTTATAAAAAGTCCCCAGGTACAAGACATGAGTTTTAGAACACAAGTTTTAACCTGGGAGTGTGGCCTCTGACTTGGGTGGGTATGGTGGCCACAGGGTAGGTATCGTCGGTATGAGGAATTATAACTGGGGAGCCTGAGAGAAGAATTGAGACTGCGGCTGATGGGCTTAGAGAGAAAGCTTAAACCAGAATTGAGAAGCAACCAAGTGGTTTTCCTTTTGTGGAAAGGGCTAAACCAGGTGAGATCATGCAAAAAAAAAAAATTAGCTATAAGGCAATCTGGGAGCACACTGAAGGAGGCTAGTATTCAAAAAGAAAATGTTGGAGACAGGGATGAAGAGGACAAGAGTAATGAAGGACTGGCCTCAAGGTGTCTTTGGAGGAGCCTGTGAGGATGGTAAGGGTTGATATGCTTGAAACATTAGTTGAAGGGGGTACAGTCAGAGCTGGAGTACACGGCAAGTGACACAGGGAGTGGTTCGGGGAGGTTGTTACCAGTGTTCTCTGCAGAGCTGGCTTTTCTGTTGTTGTTGAAGATCTGATCCACGTGATTCAGGATGAACTCGATCACCAACTGCTGCACTCGCACCTCCAGGAAAGCTGCATCCCCATTGCAGCCAACTGCCTCAATCTCCTTTGACCTGCATGAGGAAAGACGTACACAAGTAGCCACCATTGCCACACACAGCCCCTGGGAAGGAAAGACCAGCTTGCTTTCTGCAAGGCTTGGAACAGGGATGTTTTCCCCACTCTTGCTGCACATTTTGCTCTCCCTCCCTCACAGGCCCTCATCCTGCCTCTGCCTTTTCACTCTTATTAAAATTATTTTCCCTGTTTCCTCTGCTACCTCTCTTTCTTTCCCGCCTGTATAATTTTCCCTACGTAGCTTTTATGTTTTCTTCAGCAGTAGATAAAACCGTGACTCTCGAACTCCATTTTTCTCCCTCTTTGCTCCTCTTCTAGCTCTTTCAAAGTTGAGCCTGAGAGACAACACAGGAGCCTTCAAACACTGCTTCCAGATCCCTACTCAATGCTTCAATCTGAAATCCCTTAGAACCCTGCTCAGGTCTTCCCCACGCCAATTCTTTCAGTGCTTTGCCGTGTGCCTCAGTAGCCTTCTTCTCTGCTCCCCTGCACTCCCACATTCTCACTCTTGCTCTCAGCAAAGAAACATTCCTTATCTTGACATGCCAAAGTGTTGCTGAAGAAATTATCTCTGGGCAATGGATCCTTTGTAAAGTTAATGACTGGTGTGTTAGATAATAGCTTGGGGCATTGCCAAGAGGATAACCCTGTAAGGAGACTGCAGTTGTGTTGCTTGCTCCTTTCTTTTCCTCCCTGGGACTTGTACTTAGGAAAGATTGCAAAAGGAAACAGAATTCAGGGGTTTTTTTTGACAAGGACAGATGCTAGAATGAAAATGTCTCAGAAGTAAAGGTCCACTCTGTGATATTCAATAGAGTCAACATTTGATTCGTTTTCAGGACCTGCTCTG